TGGATATAAATTTTTGATTGTTATATCTTCCTCTTGGATTGTTTGCTTTACAAGGATATAGTGACCTTCTTTGTCTCCCTTAATCAGTCTTGGCTTGAAATCCACTTTGTCTGCAAGTAGAATAGCTACCCCTGTTTTTTTCCAGGTTCTTGTCACATGGAGTATTGTTTTTCATCCTTTGACTTTCAGTCTGTGAATTTCTTTTTGAATCAAACATATTTCTTGTATGCAGCATATTGTTGGGTCTTCCTTCTTGATCCATTCTGTCAGTCTGTTTCTTTTGATTGTTGAATTGAGACCATTTACATTGATCATAATAACTGACTTATCCTGTTATGTTATTTTCCTTTTGTTGGTTCCCTTTTTTCCCCTCTGTTTCATTGCTTGTCTTGCCTTGGATTCATTCTGTTGGGGTTCGTGGACTTGTAGTCCTCATTATCTCTTTCTAGAATGTTCTTCAGACCATTTTGCAGTGCTGGTTTGGTGGTCATGAATTTATTCTGGTGTCTTTTGTCATGGAAGTATCTTCTTTCTCCATCCATTTTGAAAGGTAGTTTGTGGGGTATATCAATCTAGGTTGGAGGTTGTTTTCCTTTAGGGCTTGAAATACTTCATTCCAATCTCTCCTTGACTTGAGCGTTTGTTTTGAGAAGTCTGCTGTAATTCTGATGGGCTCTCCTTTTTAGGTGATTTGTTTCTTTTGTCTAACAGCTTTTAATATTCCATTCTTGTGTTGAATTTCTGGAATTTTGACTATCATGTGTCTTGGGTAATGATGGGTAATTAGAGTTCTATATGCCTCACTTATCTTCATGTCAAATTCTTTTACCCTGTTTGGGAAGTTTTCTGCCATTACTTCTGTGAACATGTTTTTTATGTCATTTGTGCTAGCTCCTGATTTTTCATTGATTAATCTTTTCTTTTGAGAGAGGGTCTCACTATGTAGTTCACACTGGCCTTGAACTCATTATGTAACCCAGGCTGGCCTGAAACTTTTGGCAATCCTCCTGCCACAGTCTCCCAAGTGCTGGGATCATAGACATGTGCCACCATGCCTAGTGACTCTGATCAATTTTATGTTATTCTTCTTTGCATCATCTATCAGCTGTTGGATTGATTTTTCATGGTCCCTTGCTTTTTTTTTTTTTTTTTTTTTTACCACCAGGGATCGAACTTGAGTCCTTGTGCTTGCAAGGTAGGTCCCGGAACCACTAAGCTAAATCCCTGGCCCTCCCTTGGTATTTTTAAGAAATCTTTCTTTTTATGGTCACTAACTGCAATCCTGTCTTCTATATCTGATATTCTATCCTCACCATTGGCTCATTCTGCTGCATGTACTTTCAATGGAATTTTTAATCTCCTGGATATCTGTTTGAATCTGTTTCATGGATTCCATTTCTTTCCTATGCAGAGAGCATTCATGGTTTCCATCATTTTTCCAAGCTCCCTTTATTTTATTTTATTTTTTATCTGTATCTGCTCTAGAGTCACTAACCATATCTTTCATTTTGGTCACCATCTCTGTAGTTATCTGATAAATTATTTCTGATTTTTTTCTACAGCCTCTTTCATCTGCTTTGTTACTTCTGCTGTTACCACTTCAGAGTCCAGGTGGGTGGCTTTAGCATTTTTCCACCTCATTGCCCCGTTGCTTTGCCTTTTGCGAGCTGGAAGTCTGGGGTTACATCTTGTTTAAGTGTCTTCTCATTTTCTATTTTTTGAGTTTAATTTCTAGGTTGATACTTATAAATTGCTTATGGTGAAGTGCTAGCTTTCAGAACCCTTAAGAAATTATTACTTCTCAGGTGTAGCTGGCTTTCAGGTTTTGAGTCTGTTGCAAGATCCTACCTCTTCAATTTATTTGGGATGAGAAGTTGCTGCCCACCTGGGCCAGCCCCTGGTTCTTTGGCACTGGCCTTTAGTATTTTTTTATGACCCTTAGGCAATCTCAATCTTGATATACCAGGAATAACAACTGATTAGAACAATTACATAACCTTAGCTAAAGTAATACAATCAGCAATAACATCAAACACAGCCTAGAAAATGACAAACTATGGTAATTATTAATTTGCCACCTTTAACCATATAAATAAGATTTTGGTTATGTAACAAAATCTAAAATGAACCAGAAAATTGTACGCAGTAAATCAGCCCTCAATATGGTAATTTTATCCTTGGGGGAGAAAATTTTAAAAGAGTTAGGGGGAAAAATAGAGAAATAGAAGAAGTCGAGATTAGGAGCAAGGATAGAGGATAAAGGATGATCATGCAAACTTTGGGAAAGTGGTGAAGAATACAGGAGGGAGAAAAAGATGAAATAAAAACAAGAAGAGAACAGAACAATAGAACAAAAACACTAGAAACTGTATTCACACTCATATAAAAAGAAGAATAAACTATCAAGAAAATTAAAACAAAAAGAAAAACAAGAAAAGAGAGAAAAAAAGAAAATAAGAAAAAAATCCACTTCCAGGCATTTCTCTGCTGTCACTGGTAGATAAAGTGGGCAGACAGAGTCCAGCTTCGAGTTGATTAATCCCAGCAAGTCAGCCCTACTTTTACAATGGGGTAGTGGATAATCTCAGCAAGGCTGTATTTTTAGTTCCACTGAAGTTCAGTCTGGTTTCTGGCTATCAGGGTGGAACCAGATTTGTTGAGCCTGCAATAGTCCATGTGACTCTTGCCTGCTTGAAGTTGGCTCCCTGACCTCCTGCCAATTTGAACTCAACAGCCTCACCCTGACATTGGGAGCCACCAGATGGAGCCAGCCTGCAGCTCTTGAGTTCTGAGCTCAATTGGTCTCTCTCCAAGATGGGTACTGGCCAATCACCCTCTTCTGGAGGACATCTGAACCCAAATAATTCACCAGCCACTGCAGTTTGCTGCTGCATCTACTGCTCCATTCCACTGGTGCATTTCTTTGTGGAGTCTTCTGGAGTTGCCAGTAGTCACTGTGGATCTGCAGGTTGAAGCCACCTTTCCCACACAGTGAGTCTGGGCTCAGGGAGAAAGCACTGCCTACCACCTCCTTCTTCTTTGTTGAAGTCTCTCATCACTCTCTCTGTGGACTTTAATTCTCACTTCAGATCCTTCCTGGGTCCCAGGAACCTACTTCCTTCCTTCTTCTCTTTCTCATGTTGCTATATTCCAGTGTCTGGACATAAAATCTCAGAGAGGTTCTTTCCATGATGCTCACTACTCTGCCATCCTGGACACAATCTTTGGAAGGAAGGCTTCTTGGAAGAGGTAGCCTTCAGGCTTGACTTTGAGGGATGGCTATATTATCCATATGGCTCTTACTCTATGTACTATTTTGTTGTCATTTTATCCACAATTAGGTTGTTAAGCTCCTTGGAGATAGGTTTTGGATTTATCTGCATCTTTAGTGCTATTTGGGTCTGTACCTAGTAGATGTTCAATAACAATTTTTATGTATTGAACTAAAGGCACATATATATGCCTAAAACTTTCTATGTGTCCACTATTCTTCCAGAAAGGCATAAAAAATAATTTTTACCTTCAAACAGGATACAATATTGTAGTAAGCTAAAGTCAACATAGAAAGTATTTTAATAACTATAGCATGGTAACCTCTGTGAGAAAAATGAAATGAGGATTCTGTAGAGGGGGAGATACATCTGTTAGGGGTGTCAGAGAAAGTGTAATAAAGAAAGACTTTTTGGGCTGGGGATTTAGCTCAGCGATGCTGCACCTGTCTCACAAGTGCAAGGTCTTGAGTTTGATCCCCGGTACCATAAAAAAAAAGACTTTTCCTGGAAGAGGTGGCCTGTGGGATTGACTTTGAAGGTGGTTAAGATTTTGATGGGCAATAAGGAAAGTATGGTATTTATATACAATGGAATACTAATCTGCTATAAAGATAAAATTGAATCATTTGTAGGAAAATGGATGCACCTGGAGACCATAATCTTAAGTGAAATAAACCAGACACACAAGTTTAAATATTGTATTGTTTCTCTTGCGTGAGGAACCCAAAAGGTAAATAAAGAGGATAATGGAGGACAGATATTGGGAAGTAGGAAGAGTATGTTCAAATGGGAAGGTAACAAGGGAGGGGGAGGAAAGGAAGGGAAAAGGAAAAAAAAGAGAGTGGAAGGAATATAATGGAAACAAAGCTTGTGTAAATGGGGAGGGGAAGAAGGGCTGATGGGGGGATGGGAATGGGAAAAAAAGAATTAAGATATATTATGTACATGTACAAATTCCCTATGATGAATGTGATTAATATGTATGACAAATAGGTACTAATAAAAAATAAAGTTTAAAAATTAAAAAAATATTTTGATGGGCAAAAATGGAGGTGAGGCTGGGATGTGAATTACAGATTCAAGGGGTTAAGATCAATTGACATGAACAGAAAATGTGGATATGAGCACTAAAGCTGATATGGTTCTTTTTCAGGGGTACTGAAGCCTAGCCTTGCTTCCAGTTTCAGGGCCAATGCAAGGGATGGTATCCAGGGCTTGTCCTGGACTGTGTTCTCCAAGTGTAGCTTCTTTGGAGGCTGAGAATTCTTTGCAGTGATCCTTTCCACCCCTAATAACATGGACTTACCTAGAGTCTCTTATGACAGTTCATATAAAAATTTTAAGAAGATCCCTTTCCTCCTTTTGGGAGTAGGGGACTGGCTGGATTTTAGCCAGGCTCTCTTTTCTTTTAAACCCAAATCAAACTGAATACATTACTCATGATTTTGCCTTAGATTGGTTTGTTGTTAAATAATAATTTCTCTAAAACCAGCTTTTCCTGGAAAAGTTGGAAGCTTTTCTTTTTGTTGGTGGAATTTCTTTAACAACCATCCTTAGCTGAACTCTGTGCTTGCTGACTTGAGACTCAAGCGAGAAGACCCAGGAAGTCATAGAGAGCCTTTGGAGGGGGCCTGATTATTGCCTGCCTGCATGCTTCTCCTCAACACTCCTCAACGCTCTTGACTATGAGCTCAGGGATTAACAATTTATTTTAGAAGGCCCTCTTACCTCATCTCTCATGCTTTCTTCCTGCAATCCTGAGGGACGTTTCCTCAGAATTTATAAACCATCTCCCAAGAAATAAAATCAGAATAGGCAAAACCAACACTTGCCGAGTTTTCAAGAGTCAGGTGCAGCCGCAGACAGAGATTTTTCGATTTCTACCAAGCAGTCGGAGGGACCTTCCAGCCTAGAGGCCCCTGAAGGGAGGGAGTTGGTTTCCAAGGCAACCGTGCCCGGGAGCCTTTGGCTGCGCAGTGCGCTCCTCCGCCTCCCAGTAGCCGGGGGTACCGCCGGACAGAGTCCTCTAGTGCTCCGCGCTCTGATTGGCTACATAGGCCGTTCGCTGATTGGCTGCTGTGGGTGCCTCGCGGGCCGGTGGCTATGGAACCGGCGGTGGTTGATGGTTGACCGTTGGCTTCAGGGTAGGGGTCGCGGCTCGAGTGATCCGCTCACACCCAACCAGACGCGCGGGCTGCTGATGCTTGGCCTGGAACCCGCTGGGGAGACCTAATTCCGCTCCGCCATGCCTGCCGGGAGTAACCAGCCAGACGGCGTCCTCAGCTATCAGGTAGGGCCCCGCCTCCCGCCCCTCCCCGGGGCTCAGCCTCCAGATCCTCTGCCCACCCTCCTTCCTGCCCCGGAGCCCGGGTTTCCAGGCCGCTCCCTGAGGGAGAGGGGAGCCGGCCCGGGACGCTAGGGGGCGCTGGGGGCGGCTGGGGAGCCGGCCGGGGCCGGGAGAGGTGACCTTGGGCGGCACCTGGGAGCCGGCCCATCACTGCCACATCCCTCGCGCGGGTCCGCGAGGAGCCGAGACGGCTGGCCGGTGGTGACTTCTGTCCTCCTCGAGTCTTCCCTGGTGGGAGAGGCCCGCTGGCTTCGCCATTGCCCCGCCGGAATGTGGGCGAAAGGGTAGCCAGGGACTTTGCTCCGGTCTTTTGTGTTTTTAATCCCTGGGGGGTGGGGAGGATTGGGTTATTAGTGGCTCAGAGAAAGAGCTACAAAGACTGTGGAGGCTGAGAAGAGCCCTCGTTAGCGTGGCCAGCTTTGTGACTCCTCCACCCCACCGCACAGACATTTGACAAGTTGCATACACATAGATAATAGGGAAGTGTTGGTGGGTCAGGAACAGGTGCTTGTTTAAGGGGCTGAGAAAATCAGTATTAAATAATTGACAGTAGAATTGTTGGGTTGGCCAACGTAAGGAAGCATTGGACAAGGTGTCTGTAGGTTCAAATCCCACATGTATCTCACACAGGCTTTGTGACCTTGTGTAAGTCACTTGCCTCTCCTAACCTCGGCTTCTTCCTTTATTAAAAGAGACATAGTGTTATTTGCTTAGTTTACTTGACAGGGTTGTTTGGAGCATCAGATGAGGTGCTACTTGTGAAAGGCTTTATGAAATGCTATTTATTGTGTGATATGCAGTGAGTGGTAGCTCTTTGAACTCTCGCCTTCCCCTTCCTGTGCAATCACACTGTGTGATTACTGCCCTGGAAAGGAGGTTTTGAAAATGGGAGAGCAGTCAAGATAATGGATGACAGTGAAGAGGCTAGTGGACCATCTCAGGAAGGATGACAGGTCTTGGAAACAAGTGCCACGCTGACATCAGCGTTGTTTCTGGAAGGAGGCAGAGAAAATGTCCTGAGTTTGTAGCAAAATGAGTATCAGACACTGACTCCTTCCCCTTCTTCCTCATAATAATTTGCTACTAAGAAGATCCATAGTTTCTTTTCTGCTTTCTCAGTTGAAAAGGAACAAAGCAGGGCGTGGTGGGGCAGGCATCCCAGCTGAGACAGGAGGATTGCAAGTTCAAATTTTGCCTGGGCTATTTAGCAAGATCTTGTCTCAAAATAAAAAATAAAAGGACTGGAGATGTAGCTTAGTGCAAAGGCTCTGGATTCAATCTCCAATACTGGGAGAAAAAGGAGCAATATCTAAGATTTTGGAAAATCTTTCCATATTTGATCATTTTAAGGCTCACTATATGTAATTTAAGCCCTGTAGTACAGTGATGAGAGCAAAAACAGATAAGTTCTTGCCCTCCTGGAGCTCATGATCTAGTGGTAAGGGAGAAATAACTATTTTTCATCAAGTAGTCACAAATAAATATATGACTTAAAACTGTGATAAATGTTTCAAAGTAAAGTTAGGTGTTATGGGTGTGTAATCTCAGATCAGAGATGATTTTGCCAAGGAAGAAAATTTGGATAAAGATCTAAAGAATGAGTAAATGTCAAGTAAGGGAAAAGGGAGGTTATGGAGGCAAAGAAAACAGCATATACACAAGTCCTGTGGCAGAAGGGGACACATTCTGACAAAAAGCCTGTGGTAGAGCCACAGGGATCCATGAGGAGAATGGTGTAGGATATAGTCAAGGATTGTAACATCCTAGGCCATTGTAGCCCCTGCTGAGGAAGTTGGTACTTACTTGAGGAACAGGGGGCACCACTAGAGGGGTTTAAGCAGGGAGAGGAAGGTGAGGCAGGTGAGAGAGGGGGCTCAAGAGACAGCAAATGATACCAGGATTGGATTTTTCTATTGAAAGATTTCTCTGGCAGCAGTGGAGAGAATAGGCCGGAATGAATGTGAGAACAGGGTCCCTCATAGGTAGAACATGTGCAGATTGTATCATGAAGAGCACAATAACCCTTAAGTTTCTGCCAGTTTTCTGTGAGACCAGCAATTCCTGAGTGCTGCTGGGGTAAGATAGAAAATAATTATCTCCTTCCCATCCAGCCTGTGAAACTTTCATGGGTGGCGGAGTGAGGAAAGGAAATGGAATCGAGTGAGACTAGCAGGATTTCATGAAAGTTACAGTTAGGCAATAGGCAGGGGTATAGGGAGGAAAAGAGAATGAGGGTAGAAGGAGGACACAGTCCAGCCAATTGCCAAGTAAGCCTGCTGTATGCCAGTGAGGCTGTGTGCTGGGGAGATGGACCTTGCAAAACGAGTAAATTGTGTGATGTTCCAGAAATCACTTCTGTGTACCGAAAGTCTATGCTGTTTCTCAGGTGTGGACACAGCTCTAGCCTTGCAACAGCACCCTCTGCTTGTTTTCTTTCCTGGCTACAATCCATGTGGAAACCAGAGGGAGCTTTTAAAAACACATATCAGATCCTGTCATACCCTATCTGGAATCCCGTCAGTCCCTTCCCAGTGCATTTTAGAATAAAACCCAAATTCTTTGTGATGGATTACCAAGCTTTAACATAATCAGGGCCCGCCCATGCTCCTGAGACTGCCTCTTCTCCACTCTCTCACCTTATACCCCTACACTGTCTTGTTTTCTTTTCTTTGTGCTGGAGATTGAATCCAGACAAACTCTACCACTGAGCTACACTCCAGGCTTTTTTCTAAAATTTTGAGACAGGGTCTTTGAGATAGGCTGGCTTTTAACTCATGCTCTTCCTGCCTCAGCCTCCTGAGGAGCTGGGCTTATAGGCTTACACCACAAACTCTGGCTTCCATTGTTTCTTCAGTATGGCAAGCTCTTTCATAGCTCAGGAGCTTTGAGTTTGTCATTCTCTGCCAGGGACACTTTCTACCCAGGCTTTGTCATGACTCAATTCACCTCTTCAAAGTGGCTTTGCTTGATCTTCACTCCCAGTGACTCTCCTTTATGTGAAATTATTTTCTCAGCACTCTCTCTCTACCCTCCCCTCCCCTCCCCTCCCCTTCCCTTCCCTCCCCTTCCCTCCCTCCCTTCTTTGTTTCCTTCCTTCCTTTTCTTTTTTCCTTCCTGTATGGGGACTAAACCCAGGGAGCACTAAGCTATATCCCTAGTCCTTTTTATTTTTCTATTTTGACACAGGGACTTGCTAGGTTGCCCAGGCTGGATATGAACTTGTAATCTCTTGCCTCTTGTTATTTTCTTGATTTCACATGTACTTATCTGAAGTGTGTGTGTGTGTGTGTGTGTGTGTGTGTGTGTTTTAAGACAGGGTCTCACTGTGTAGTCCAGGCTGGCCTTGAACCCACTATGTAGCCCAGGCTGGCCTTGAACTCATGGAGATCCTCCTGCCTCAGCCTCCCAAGTGCTGGAATTACAGGCATGCACCACATGTCCAGCTTGAAGTATTCTTATTTTGATTTCTTGTTTACTATCTTATTAAATAGAAGCATATGAGGGCAGGGACCAGGCAGAAAATCTAGCAGGTGCCTGATATAAAATTGGTTCTCAGTTGCATGAATAAATGAACAATTTTCCCCTATACAGAGGAGCCCATGGGCTCTTCAGGATTAACACAGAGCCACAGATGGCCATTATTTGATTATATGAGAGGTTTCTCTTCTTTGCTGCTGTGCTTTTGTTCAGGTATTTTTTGCTCAGGTGTTCAAGCTGAAAAATCTTTCCTTTCTTTGCACCTAGGAAATTCTGGTTTGACCTTCAAGGTCTGGCTTCATATTGCTCTGTCTAAATTTGCTGCTCAGTCTTCTCTGCTCGCAGATGTAGTAAGTGCTATCACTTTTTCCACCCTTTACTTGTGGAATATACATGCATCTCCCTTTGTTGTTACTGTTGAAGTAACTTTTATTGATTGCTTGCTATGTGCCAGGCACTGTGCTAGGTGTTTTCCATGCACTATTCCATTAATTTCTTTACCACCCCACTTCCTCCTCCTTGTTCATGTTCTTGTCTTTTGTGGTGCTGGGAATTGAACCTAGGACCTTTCATATGCTAGGCAAGTGCTTTACCACTGAGCTACAACCCCAGCCCTGGGATCCCATTGAACTCCATAATTCTCAGAATTATGTACCTTTATTATTCCCATTTTGCAAATGGGGAAACTGAGGTATAGAGAGGTCAGATAACTTCTAATAAGTGACAAAACTGCCTGTAGCTCTGCCAAATCCAGGCCTGTCTCTCTTTAAAGAATGTGCCCTCAATCACTGTAGTACTGCAGCTTGTGTCTTTGGCATCTAGATTAGTACCTGGCTGTGAGTAAGCCCTTATGAAATGTTTGGGAAGAGCCTGCTTTGCAAGCAGAAGGACCCAAGTTCGATCCCCGGTACCAAAAAAAAAAATGTTTGGGAAGATATGTGTGGCAAGGTGTACAAAGGCTATATGAGAGTTGGAGAGACTAGAATGACAGAAGCCAGCCAGGAGCCTGTTGATGTAATTGAGAATGAGTTAATGAAGGCCTGCAGTATTCATTTTGATGAGATGTCTGGAGGAGTTATTGAAATTTTAAGGATTGATGAGCTCTTAAAGGGAGTAGTAATAGAGGAAGAAGATGAGACAGCTTAAGGGAAAGCCCCTGCTGTGGACTGGAACTGAGGATATCTTGTAGTTTCATAGTTCTCCAGATTAGCACTTTCAGAACTAACCAGAAGGAAGTGCTTGAAGAGAAAGCTGGAGAGGTTACAGTCCTCAGCATTTGTGCCAAGTGATTGAGGTGAAGTTCACTGAGAAGGGAAAAGGTGGAGGGTAGGCAAGTGAGTTTGGGCAGTGTGAATCAGGTCTCCTCAGAATGGAACATTTTACAAAAATCTTCAGAATACCAAACCATGGCAAATGGATGATAATTGAGAAACATGGTCAGTGGGGGTCAATGGGAAGAGGTTCACACTGTACACCTTCAGGTGAACCTTAAGACAAGACTTCCTGAAGGAGCCCTGAATTCCAGTGCCCAGGGATTTTTGCATATATTGTAGCTCAGTAAGTATTTGCTGAGCAAATGAACGAATAGCTCTGTAGAGAACAGGTCAACTTTTCTGAGGGTCATGGTCAGTATGGTAAACAGTGAATATTTGTTCAATATTATTGAATAAAAGCATTGACCCTTAATTGCAGTTTCTGTCCAAGCACATTGCCATATACCTC